ACCACATGGGTCAAAATGCAGAACCTTGTGGAACAGCGTAAGTAACAACGTCTGCTTAGATTGTGTACATAATTTATTTACGCAAATGTTTCTCATTGGTAGTAGTACACTGATATTGATTGTTTGGTGTTTTAACGTCGCTTCCTTGGCTATTTTCATGACGAGTAACAAGTTGAAAACCTATATAAGGTGTTTATATGTATATAGCGTTGGATGTATGGTATTAAGAACTTGTGTGTGATTCTGGAATGTTCTATTCAGCATCATGAATATATATGATCTGATCCCAGCGATTATTGAAAATACCCAATGTATTTTACCCAAAGAAAGGTTGACCGATGAAAAGCTCTGTAGTTTACGGTCATCTGTGTTTTTACAGCTCCTGTGACTCTGGACCCAGACACAGCATCGAGTAAACTGCAGGTGTCACAGGATTGCACCAGTGTTCAGTACGTAGAAAATAAAATGGTTGTGTTTGATAACCCAGAGAGAATGTATGTGGGAGTGCTGGCCTCACAGGGCTTCAGCTCAGGTGTGCACTGCTGGGACGTAGAGGTAAAAAACAACAGTCACTGGACGCTGGGAGTGGTGGCGGAAAAAGTGAACCGCAAAAAATATTACAAATTGTATCCGAAGAAACATTTTTGGTGTTTTCATTACATGGATGCTACATACAAGCAAGGAAATGATCCTGTCAGCAATATTAATAGCAATGAAAGGCCAAATATCATCCGACTGCAGCTGGACTTTGATGAAGGAGAGCTGAGATTCATCGACCCTTCCAGAAACAGGATTTTGTGTACCTACACTGGTGGATTTCCAGAGAAAGTGTTCCCATATTTCTGTACTGAAGATATGATCAGGCCACTTAACATTTTCATGTCAAATAAACAAAAATTGTAAACCACAACTAACACAACAATTTTTTTTATATACGTTGTGTTTTGTGCATGTGCCAAGATAATCCTCAAATGCGATGACCTTCATGCAGTGTGAATTGAGTTACAGTCTATGGTGTCCAAATAATTTTTAGGGCCACTGTATATCAAGCTATGTGATTATTTAATCATGTAATGTTTAAGTGTATAGGGTGAAACATTATAAATATGGCCAATTTTAATGTGATTATCAATGAAAAAAGAAATAAAGACTATTTGGTGTACCAATGTGATATTATTGAATTGCAAGTAAAATGCAGTGTGGTTCTGACAAATAATGCTACCTATCAGATTATGCTACCAACACTGTATTTATCCTACTGAACACCGTCACCTCTGCCAGCTGATTGTTGGGTGGTGTTGGTGTCAGTGTTGCCAGATTGGGCGGTTTTGAATTTGATTGTGCGGGTAAAAATTGGCTTGGGCGGGTGAAATTTGGGCGGGCTGGTTTGGGGTCAATTTGGCGGTTTTCAAACATATAAATTGCATAGGCTAATTGTTTAACAAAACAAGCCCAAGTATGTATACTGCATCCAATCAGTCATCATAACGTTACTACACACACACACACACACACCAGAGGCGCTGGTGCTGATGTAAACGTCGACAGCCGCACTTTTTTTGCACTGACAAGTTTTTAGCGTGATAAGTTATAACGTAGGCTATCTGATTTTGAATGTAGTATGACTGTGTATATTCAAGTAATCCCAATTTTTGTGAGCTTTTGGGCTGGAAATCGTCCATCCAATCTGGCAACACTGGTTGGTGTTCCAGTGGAATTCCTCCTAATTTTAATTATTGTGGAGGATGACACATTCCTGCAATACCTGCTCTGATTAAACTCTCAGGCTATGAATACAAGTAAACCATAATCTGTCATAAACATGCCTAGCCTACCTGAGGGTGTTTGTCAATGTAATCAGCTTCATATTCAGCAGAGACTGTGTTCAGTTTATTTATCCAATGACTCTAGGGAATCTTTTCAAAACATTACAGCATATGTTAAACAACTTTTACCAGCGATCATTTTTCATATATGTAGAGTGTTAATCAATTTATCTAGTAAGTTTCACCTAACGGTAAACATTCACTCGTGAACTGAAATTGTTAGCCTGAAGAGGTAACCATAGCAACCCCAGCAGTTGACCAATATTTACAATACCTAAACACTGTCATAATTTATCACTTTATTATATGTAAATATCACAACTGTATCGCAAAAAAACATTAGTGGTCTGTAAATAAAATTTAACAGTTAATCTTAAATAACTGACTGTTTGGCTAACTGTGCTAGGCTAACAACAAGATTGCGCGGGACGAATAAATTTCTCCCGAAACTTCCTATAGACATTTCTAAATGCACATTTTGTATCCCCATCTTATTGTATATATTTCATAACGTTCCGAAACACCGTCATATAATTAATATGCCGTCAGGTAAATTAAGTGACTCACCTCAAAAAGCGCACCAGACTCCTGTCAGTAGTACGCATGCGCAACCGCTACGCAAATTTAAATTGTAGATTTAAATAAATTGACGTTTGAATTATCTTATTAAATGATTAATACATTCGCTTTACGGTATTAAACAGATTAGAATTGAAGGATAAGATTATGAAAATAATCTTATTAATCCGCGTCCAGCTATTTTTAGCTGTATAAAACAGCTCGTTTTGCTGCTTGATATTTCAAATGGGTGTGTTTTACCATATTATTTTAATCTATTATCTTAATTATGAACACACTGGTTTGTGGTGTTTGTTGTATTGCACGTTGTTAATCTTCTCCTTATTTCCTTACAGCGGTTCCTTAAAGGGACTTTAGTTTAAGACACGCTCAATTGACAACAAATACAAATCACCAGAAGAAAAAACGACTGTATTTACGTAAACATTTTTAAAGAGCTGCTTGCACTTGCTTAGAATAAATATCTTGTTTTCATTCGAGCGCTCAGTCTTGTGGCCAGGACACATAACGTGTTTTACCATATTATTTTAATCTAGTATCTTAATTATGAACACACTCCTTACAGCGGTTCCTTAAAGGGACTTTAGTTTAAGACACGCTCAATTGACAACAAATACAAATCACCAGAAGAAAAAACGACTGTATTTATGTAAAAATTTTTAAAGAGCTGCTTGCACTTGCTTAGAATAAATATCTTGTTTTCATTCGAGCGCTCAGTCTTGTGGCCAGGACACATAACACACACTCATAGAAATCATACCACA